TTGCCTCACAAACATAGAGAGACGGTTCAAATATCGAAAAGGCGATGGGGTGCCATGGTCCTTGAAAAACTGCTTCAAGAACGTCCAGCACTGTGAGAGATTCTCTTCGGGCTCGTTCGCCATGACCGTATGGCACAGAAAAGCTAAGACAGATCCGTATTGATACATGTCAGTGCCTAGGTATTTGACGTGCGTCCAATCGTAGGCGACTGTCCAGCAAGAGGCACCTGGAAGGGACAGCAGCGGGCATCGAGAATGCTCTTCCCAAGCACGCCACGCGCTAGGAGTCCACTTGGTGGCTCGCCAGCTTGCAATTGCCCGAAAATCTGTCCATGTGTCATCGCCCGCCTTTTTGCATTGACAATGCGAGCACGGCCCTGCCGCAGAAGAGTAGTTTGGAAGGCCCAATATTTTATTGTAATAATCCAGGTCCCCTGTGAGGGCAAACAATACTCCCCGATATCCTCCAGCTAGCCACTTTCCCGCCAGCCTGTGCCCTTCACTTCCAGCAACATACCTGCGGCGGCCGTCAAAGTTGTTGCGGGGGTTGTATTTGTACGCTTTTGTTCCTATTTTGGTGTGGGTGCCATGCATGCGACAAAAATGCCTTAAATAAGAACAAAAAAGACAAAACCACGCCCAATGATTTTTGTGGTGGCCGAGATGCCTCTTCCCCTGGAAGTCGGCGCTTGGCCATTTCCCTTCCATCAAACACAGGAAGGACCATCGTAGCACTGCAAAGAAAACGCCTCTGGTTCCTTCAGAGACAGAGCCTTTGCTCATGCGGTCATACATGCTCCAGACCCAGAATAAGATTTCTTTGGTCTGCCCTTGCCCTATCAACGATCTCCATGGACGGCGAGCGGCGCAACCTTGGACTTGTAATCGGCAACGTCCCGGATGGGGTGGCTCTCCATCTGTGGATGAGAATCCACTGCGCTCCAAAATCGTTGCAGGGTTTGCTCATCAGGAAGAACAGACGATCGCCAAGTTTCTGGGTAGTCCCGCCACAAAGACGCGAAGAGCTGGTGTGGCAAGAGCATTCCCTGCAGCGACTCGCCGAAAGGCAGGGCGAAGGGAACTCGAACTCGAAATGGCTCTGGTAGTTGGCTCAAGTGCTCGACTTTGTTCATCAGGTCAGCATGGCACTTGTTTTTGTAAGCGCCGTTGGTGCCTATGCCAGCAAGGACGCAAGGACTTGGCCATTTTCTATAGAGGCTTCCAAGTCTCGAACAGCCAGGGCAGCAATTTCTTGGATCAGTTGGGGAGACATAGCCCCCCAAGCAAAAAGTTCCAGGAGGAGCGCGGCAAGCTGGCTTTCATTGGTGAAATTGCCTGCCTGTTCGTTGGCGGTGGCTTTGGCCATGCGCTGCCTGATTCCCCCAATCTTTCTGCGCTTAGGTAAGCGATCCATGGCGTGGCTGGGTGAAAGTGTGAAGCAAGTCTTGTTTATATGTTCAAACAATGCTCAGCGTGGTAAAATCAGCGTTTTCTGCTCAATTGACAAACCCATGCAACAATTGACAAATCCTGCTCCTTTCCGCTCAAAGGTTACCTTTGTGTGTGTATATGAAGAACTTTGTGCGTCGCAGTGTTCTACGCAACATCAAAGAAACAGCATATGTCTCTCAGGGTGTCTCTCAGGGTATCTCTCAGGGTGTCTCTCAAGGTGTGCGCAGCTACCAAGCGTTTGTCTCTCAAAAGGGCCGCAGCGCGTGTGCCTCTCGAGGCTCAGCAATGTTTTGCGCCGCACTCACGGGTGTGCCTGAAGTATATTCTTGCGCTTATAGCTCCTGTGGCCAGGTGGAGCCCCGTAAGGTGCTTCAAAACACAAAAACGGAAGCAGCGGCCTCAGTTCCGCCTTGCCTTGAGGATGCCCTTGACGCTTTCGATCTCCCTGTTGTACTTGTCAACGTCCCGGGCAATGTCAAGCAAGAAGTTGTCCAAGGCGCCTTTGGTGAGTGGGCCATCGGTGTTCGGGAGTTCCTTCCAAGTCTTGACGTGTTCAATCTGGCTCTGGTGCTTGGTCAGGTCGGCGTAGGCAGCCTTAAGGGCTCCCTCCTTCTCCGCCAAGCCCCTTTCCTTGGAAAGCTTCAAGCCCTCTTTCAGCAACTTGTCGCACGCCGTGGCTGCCTTGGCCAGCGTCTTGAGGAACCCTTCAGGCAGATGAGCATCCTGTTCAAGCCGAGTCTGATCAGCCTTAGCCCACAAGTCTTGCAGCGCTGGTGGGGACACAGTTGTTGCAGCTTTACTTCTCCAAAGGAATGTCCAGAGTAAGAATAAACTGGAAAAGGGCGAATGGATGCTAGCTTTGCAATGTTTATCCCCCATCCAATTGTTTCAGGAAACTGTTTCTCTCAAGGTACCCACAACCAGCGTAAACCATTCATTTTCCTTGAGAGCGTTGCCTTGAGAGCACAAAGACTCACCTTGAGAGCGACCACACACTTTGAGAGAAACGATAAACTGTGAGAGCCAAAAACACGTTCAGAGCAATGCGACTTTGAGAGTGATTGGGGGGGGGGCAGCCTGGGGTCATCTGATAAGCGAAGCGACTGACAGCACCGACACAGAAACCCTGAGTGTGACAAATAGTGACAAAAGGCAAGCCGAGAGCAACGCCTGGACCCTGCCTTCTTGCAGACCCACTCCCACTTCATCTTCGACATGAGCCCCGCCAACGTGTGGGCCTCCTGGCTTTTGAGCTTCTTGGACCCCTCAACTGTTTCACCACGTTCGTTGGTCTTGACCTCCATGGTTTGCAGCTCACGGAAGCTTAGGTACTCCATACCCGCATCGTCCTTGTGCGACTGCAACTCGCCCTTAGCAAGGCTAGCCTCCATGGCCCTGGAGTCGCCATGGAAAACGGAAGCCAACATGATCCCCCGCGGCATTCCCTTCTTCTTGTCCTTGGCGACGTGTTGGACGTGGATCTTCTGGTACTCTTTGAACTGGTGAGACCCCCCGTGTTCATCTTGTAGGATCCATCAGTTTGCTTGTTGAACAGTCCATTGGTCAGATTCGTCTGGAACTGCCGTTGGCTCTGCGCTTTCTTGGACTCGATTTGCCACATGTGAACCACAGCTAGCGGCAATGCCCCAGCCTTCATTAATTTGCCGAATTTCTCGCTTTGTCGCGCAATTGGTTCTCTTCCTCATCATCCTTGGACGAGGCAGCCGTCTTGATGTCATCCACCATGGCATTGATGGTCAGCTTGTTCGCAGCTGGCTTTTTCGTGGGCGCACCAGACGTAGCCTCGCTGGCCGCAGGCCTCTTCATAGCTGGCCATGGGGAATTGGCAATGTGCTGTTTCTTGCACAGCGGCTGGATGCTGAACAAGGCAGGCAGAGGCAAAGCAACTCAATGTGTGACACACCTCTCATGGTTCAAGGGGAAGGGCGGCCGCTGCCCTGGAAACACATCCCGCCCTCATTTCGAGCACACCTTTTTGTTTGAAATTCACATGTGTTCTGAACACGAACAGGCAAGACGTGCGATTATAGTTTGGCCTTCAGAAATTGGCTAGACCCTACATGAAACAATGTCGGGAGCATGTCGCTTGTGAGTGCGTTACACTTGATCACCAGCGCATTCCTTGAAGCTATGAGACGCCGTTGGTATCTTGACGCACTTCTACGCGCTGGGATACAAGCAGCTGACGATGTAGAAGAAGAACCGCCTGTAGAAGATGAAGACAACAAGACTATCTTTTCAGACGAAGGCAGCAACTGCAGTGAATCTGTTGCAACAATTGTTCCAGAACAAGCTGAGTTGCCCAGGGAAGAACAAGCTGATACTCTTCAAGAACAAGCTGAGTTGCCCAGGGAAGAACAAGCTGATACTCTTCAAGAACAAGCTTACTTGCACGGGGAAGCCTCACCTGCGCCTGCATTGTGTAGTAGTGAGGATGCCTGCAAGGGCGCTGAGCTGGGACCGCAGGAAGCATCTAGTTCTTCTAGCGCATGGCAGTTCATTTTGAATGGCCAGGCATGCTCTTCAGGTAAAAAGTGGAATAGCCATTTCTTTGAGGTGGCAACGATTACGTGGGTGGGGGGCGAGCAAATCTCTATCAGAAGGGTGGCGTGGGGGTCGCAAAGAATTGTGTATGAATATCCACCTGGAAAGGTCATCAAGTTTGCGCGAAGCCTGTCAGATAACAAACCTGACATGAAGCTGAGCCTGTGGGCTCCTGACCTAGCGCCTGGCGTTTATGGTAGCTGGCGTGGCACCTGCTCATTTGAGGGGCACATGGCATTCCCGTTGCACGCGGCGGTGCAAGATCGCTTTGAAACTGCTGAGGAGTATTTGGAACGGCATCCTCCCGCTGATGTTTACTTCGCTGAGCACGTTGTTGCTATTTTGGCGCGCGCGACCCTTGCAGGCGTTCGGGTGATGGACGTTGGCTTTCGTAACCTTGGAGTTCGTGAACGCGGCGAGCTTGAAGTTGTATTTATTGACGCTGGCCACTTTACATTTGACTCGAGCAATACAGTGTATATGCCTGGTAAAAAAGAACCAAGGGTGCTTATGCGAGCATTAGGCACTACTTCGGCAAAGACGTTGCGGATGCGCTGATGCAGCTTACACAGGACCAAGGACACCACGCCATTAGGGTACTTGAAGCTCTGAGCGAGCGCTTCCTCAGGAGGTGTGAGACGTGAGAGTGGCGAAAACAAGACTCGGGGGAAGTTGGGGAGGTGACGTACTCAGTGCAAAAGGTGAGAGGCGTAGTTTGCGCAGTGGTTTGCTCACAACATGTTCCTCTCAGTCACTTTCGATGTCGCTTCTCACCCCTGTGAGCCCAAACAAACGAGCCCAATCCTGCTGGTTGAAAATCAAACTAACCTAAAGTGGAAACTCTTTTGACGATTGCATTTGTTGGAGAAACACCTTTGCGCCAGAGAGACCGCGCCGTGAGAGAGACACTTTGAGAGTGGTCTGCAACCTTGAGAGATGGCACCTTGAGAGGAACCAAAACATATTGGTTTCCTAAAGAGTCTTAACGCCCCCAAGCCCCTCCCAAGACTGTTCCTCTCAAAATTCACAACCATTTTAGTACAGTTTTTCATTGCCACATTTAAGGGAGTTGAAAGGGGGGTCGAAGTTTGGTCGAATGTTGGTCGAAACTTCGACTCGCAGTTTGGTCGTAGTTTTACATGCTCATATCATAAAACATTGGTATTTACAGTGTTTAACAAAACTGCGACCAAACTACGACCAAAGTGCGATCAAACTACGGGTCGAAGTTTCGACCAACATTCGACCAAACTTCGACCCCCCCTATGTGGAGAGACATGTAAATCGATATCTAAGAACAAACTCGGGGCTGCGGGGCATGACGAGCCTCAAGTTGCTTTGGCGCAGCAGGGGCATTCCGGCTCTCAAACAAGTTATCATGCTTGTGGGCGCGTAGCTGTGGCCAAGGGAGTGGTGGCCAGTGTTACACTGGAACTCTAGCTTCATTATGGCAAAATAGACCCATTGTTGTTTTTGTCTCAGGAGAGCGATCTGTGTCGGCAAAGCGCCCGGCCTCACTTCTTGGTCTTTGTCTTCTTAGTAGATGATGAGGACGCGCCCTTGCCACTGTTGTTTGTTCCTTGGCCACCCTTGTCCTTTGCCTTGCTCTTCCCCTTTCCGCACTCTTCCTCCTGCATGTTGCAGTTGCCCTCCACAGACTTCTCCTCCTTGTCTTGATTCTTGTTGTCCTTGATGAGACTGAGCAAGCTGTCGGCAAGGCTGGCAGTGACGGGGCTGAGGAATTCTGGCAAGGTTCCCCGGGTGCTTCCATCGTTCATGACTGCGAAGCCAACAGGTGGCCCCAACTCATCGCCATTTTCAGCATCAAGAGCATCAAGATCAAGCATTTGGGAGTCGCCCTCAAAGTGTTGCGAGGACATGGCGCGATGGAATGAGCTGTGCAGCAGCTATGCGTGCGCAATGTCTCCCAAACGCCTGCGTGTGGCAAAGGTCAGCACAAACAAGGAGAGAAACCGTCGAAACATGTATAAGGGTTTGGGGCCATGAGAAAGTTTACCGCCTTTCACGTCGACTGTGAGTGCTTAAGCGTGCCTTGAGAGCAAACTTCAAAGGCTTTCTGTTGCTTGAGGCCTCATGTGATTTGCGTGGCTCCAGCCCCCCAACTCAATCAAATGGCGTTGGCTTCCAACAAAGGAGGGTTGGATTTGGTTTGCGCCGTGAAGGATACATTATCCCTCTCAGCAGTGTCCTGACAGCGTGTCTCGTGCTGCCCCTCACAGTTTCTCAAGGATCTCAAGGCAACCCTCAAGTTGTTTTTTTGAAGTAGCTCCACACAATTCTCTCAAACAGTCTGTTGTTTAGGGTATCTCTCAAAGTTGTCTCCGGGTTTCTCAAGGTCTCTCTTACTACAGTTTCTCTCAAGGTCACTCTCAAGGTGTCACTCAAGATCCCTCTCAAGGTGTCTCTCAAGGTGTCTCTCAAGGTGTCTCTCAAAGTGTCTCTCAAGGTGTCTCTCAAGAAGGCTGTTGCGCGTGAAAGCCGGCTCTCAAAACAGGTTGAACTTGGGAGTGAAAGTTTGGTTGAAATATGTGTTTCTGGGGGGTCGCAGTTTGGTCGCAGTTTTAAATATGTGTTTCTGGAGGGGTCGCAGTTTGGTCGCAGTTTGAAATGTGTGTACATGGTATGGGTCGAAGTTTCGTCGAAGTTTCGACCAAACTTCGACCCCAAAAGCAACACAAATTCTAACTATTAGTCAGATTTTTCCTGACTATTAGTTAGAATTCCGGGCTGACTATTAGTCAGAATTTTTGTGCCCGGAAAAATAAACTATTAGTCAGAATCGATGTGTATATTAGTTAGAATCACGTTTTAACTAATAGTCAGAAAAATAAGATTTAACTATTAGGCAGAAAATAGTCTAATCTAGTCTATTGGGAATGAGCTCTCCAACGTTTGCGGTGACAGGCGTTGAGCCGTGAGTGCTTGTGCACGCATGTACCCGTTAGCACTGCGCGGCAATCAAGGTTCAGACACCTTGACCCCAGGCTCAGCCCGCAGGCTTTGCGTAATGTCACCGGCCCTCAGGGTCGACAACACCACGCATGTTTTTTCAGCACCAAGGCAGAGGCTCCTCCGCGGAGACCTCGCCGACATAGCCATCCCGCAGGTCAGTCCGCCGATAACCTTGCTTAGTTCCATGCTAGCGGCATGATGTTCACTTGCAGGTGCCGCCCAGAGGATCGCATGCCACACGTGAGCCAGAATCCCAGACTCTGCCCGCAAAGTTTCCCGCATTCGCTGATGCGCATGCCGTAAAGCATGTTTTCAGTGTATGCAAAACCCGCAGCCAACCAGCCCGGAGTCGAGACCGCCCGTCCACACGCGCCTGCACGCTCATGGAGCAACATGAGATATTGGACGCGATGCATACTACCATGGCAAGGAGCTACCTGGATTTGGAAATGGTCCTCGAAGACCTGATCCTCGTCATGTTGAGCACACGCTTCTTCATACGCATTGTGGCGTTCTGCATGGTCCTGATGACCCTGTTTGCATTTGCGGCATACTTGCAAAACCTGCCCTCTGTCTTTCAGACAGGAGACTCTTTAAGAGCATCTCTGCTGCGAGCGCATCAGCATGCCGCAGCATTGCACGCCGGATGACCATGCCTTCATGCATCAAAAGAATCTTTCCGCTTGCGGTGTGAGCGCACCGACCGAGAGATTACCTCCGTCCACATGTTATGCCGAGGTGACCACCTGCATACGCACCAATCTCAGTCGCATGCCAGGGTTAGCGTGCTATGCATGTCAACCGTGCGGTCTCCGCAGACAGACTCAAGGTTCCAATGCTGGCCACCCTCCATTTCCGCTCACTAGCATGTCGCTGGTTGCAGAGGCTGATGCACGCCTTGATTCCATCGAGGACATCGAAGCCCTTACTCCGCGCCAACGGCCCCAGTGCCACCGCACGGACGCTTCTCCTTCCCGCAGCCTGCAGGAAGGTTTCGCGCAGCTGCTCGACAAGTGGATGCGCCACCCGGAGCATCGCATTCGACTCAAGCGCATCAATCGCACGGGGCATCTTTGCAACTTCCTGCTTGACATCCTTTGCATTTTGGGAGTGCGCGGCATGACTATTAGCATAGCACGCATGCACTCCCTGTCAACTTTCTTCGTCGACTACCTTCGCGATCCCCAGTTGGACATGGATCGCATGCTTCAAAATCGCAAAGGCATTTCGGCAGGCTATCGCATGGCCGGGAAGTACCTGGCCATTATTCAGCCTTTCTCCGCACTGTTGTCGAATGTCAAATTTCGCTCTAGACACAGCACGCATGCAAACATGCAACCAAGCTTGGAATTGCTTCGCGAGTGGGAAGCATGCCTAATGATGGAAGACATAGCACTCACCATCCGCTCCAGCATCGCGTTGCTGGAGAGCATCAACTCCTAC